GGTAAATATTTATACTTCTCATCCAACCACAATTATATTCACACTATCCAGGAGACACAATTTATCAGGATAGGTTTTTAAGTAATAATTACTCTGAGTAAAATAGGAGTAACGACTTTCTACTTCTTACCTTTTTAAAAAATGTAAGTGGTAGAAAAGTACAGATAATTATGTAAAAATGTAATGAGTAAAAGTAAAAAGTACGCTGAAAAATAAWTACTCAAGTAAAGTACAGATAACCAAAATTTCTACTTAAGTACAGTAACAAAGTATTTATACTTAGTTATTTTACAACTCTGCAAAAAACTGATGCTAAAAATCTGTATGCCAAAGATTAGTTCTTTAAGAATTACTTAACTGGTGCTAAAATATTATTTTATCTGTCAAAACATGCTTGATGTTTGTTTTTTATTTTAACTAAACAAGGAACAAGTGGACGGCTGCTGCTAGTTTTGAAGTTACTAGCTAGCAAGTTGCTAAACATCTAGCTGGGATGCTAGCTTATTTCCACAAGCTAACATATTTAGAAACTAGCTAATAATTGTTTCTTTGTCAAGTTTTGACAAATGTGTTTTTTTTTTTGTGGCAGCTTCCTAGCGTAGTTAGTAGCATGCTAAAGTACCAGCTAGTAACTCGCTAGCCTTAACRTCTTTCTGCAAAAAAGTTATTGCTGTAGTTGTAGTTTTTATGACAGGTTGCTAGCAGTGTGACATTAGATATCCACTTGCTAGCAAGTAGTAGCTAGCTAAGTGGTGGACAAAGGTTATTTAAAATGGGCTTTTTTGCTAAGTTGCCTGTCGTATGCTAACGCTAGTTTATCCCTTAAAATAGGAGACATTTTATGCCTTGATTTTTATGTTAGTGTTACGTRGCATAGCAAATAAACTTGTAGAATATTTTACCAAGAGCACATTAAAAGATTGCAAAAAAAAGTCTGGCCCTTTATAAAAAAAAGATTAAAAACAAGTGAAGCTGTTTTATTTTTGAATAGTACCTGTTGAATTACTTTTTTTGAGATTTGAAGCTGAAATAAACTAATATCTATTATTA